TGTGGTAGATGATTAACAGATAGCTATAGATATTGATTAGAGACAGATGATAGATAGATAGGATAGATAGCTATAGATAGGATAGATGATAGACAGATATAAGATACAGATAGACAGAGCTATAGATGTTATAAATTAGAGGATATAGAGATAGATGATTAACAGATATATTGATCAGAGAGACAGATGATGAGAGACAGAGATGATAGATAGGTGATAGATCAGGGGTCTCCAAACTTGGCAAGTTTTAAGACTTGTGGACTTCAACTCCCAGAATTCCTCCTCCTCCTCCAGTCATGTTAGCTCAGGAATTCTGGGAGTTGAAGTCCACAAGTCTTAAATTGGCCAAGTCTGAAGAAAGACCCTTGCTATATAGCTTGTATGGCCAAAACGATGGCCAAGAAAGTCGCACTGTGTTCTATTGTTTTTAATGTTTATTCAATAAAATGTATTTAAAAAATTAAAAAGGAAAGAAGAGGGAGAAGTAGAAAATTAAATAAAGGAGATAAATAATAATATGGCATAAGTACTAAAATAACTTGAAATAATAATAAGGAATGAATAATGAATATAAATATGAAATGAAATGTGAAACGGATAAACAAATGCATAAATAAATCGTAAAACGCTGCCAAGGAGACCTTCTCTCTCTCTCTCTCTCTCTCTCTCTCTCTCTCTCTCTGCCCACTTACATCTTGTCCTCAATGCAATAAACGGCCGAGGGCAGCGACTTGTTGGGCGCCTTCACCCGTGCCACCTTCTGCACCGTGGTCTCCAGCAAGCCTGGGGAAAGAAGACCAAGGGGAAAGCATACGTCCAGTAATCTACACCGAGGAAAGGTGTGTGTGCAGGTCGAGATAAGGCTGAGTCAGAAAGGACATCTCCTGTTTTGAACTCAGGGCAGCTGTCAGGATTCTGGCCGTTACCCCCATTTAAATCCTGAGTCTCGAGACAAACTTCCAAAACTTCCAAAGGATTTATTGGGAGTGAACATGTCCAGCACTGCCTGGATGTACCCGACTCTGAGACACACAATTCACTGTCACCCTTGACCCTGGTTTTCCCCCCACCCCACCCCCTGGGTGTATCGTAATTCATATTCTCCAATGGGACACCTCCATAGCCCAGAGTCATCAATCAGGCACTCCAGTTAGAATTTTGCACGGCAGAAACTTCAGTCCCCTAGTTAACTATCTCTGAAAACATTGATGGAATGCAGTTTCGGTTTGCAAGCTGCTGCACTGCTCCCCCCTCAATATTTGACGAGTTGACAGCACCATCCTGCTTACCTTTGTTCTGGCACAGCATCAAGGCGGCGGCCAGTCCCCGGTTGACGATGGGCTCCTCATCCAGGATGGTGGTGGACGAGGTGGAGAACTGCACACCAGAGCAAGACAGGTTTGATCACACAGGTAAGGCCTCCCAACAAGCTGACATCAACCTCCTGATTTCCCCGGGCAGCTGGGCCGTGGGGCGGAGGGCTCCGAAGAGTTGAAGCCAGGCACCCTGGAGCAGCCTTTCTCAATCTCGGCTCCTCGAAAGACAGGGTGGACTACAACTCCCAGAGTTCCCCCAGGCGGCAGCAGCAGGGAATTCTGGGACCCGAAGTCCACCCACCTGGAAGTGGCTGGGATGGAGAAGCGGTGACCTAGCGGAGGTGTTTCTCAACCGTGGCAACTTAGAAGGGGAGTGGACTTCAACTCCCAGCATCCCCAGCCAGCCTTTTGAGACCTCCAGCCCACCAACCCCACTTACATCCTGCTGGTGCTTCTCTTCATCCAGGTTGACCATGCTCCAACCAATGTTCTCCTCGCCATCCGAGTCGGAGCCGCCGGTGGCTGACCTCTCGTCGTCGCGTTCAAAGTCCTGAGGGAGGAGGGGGAAGGGGAGGAGTTGGAGGAGGAGGAAGAAGGGGGAGAGGTGTGAGGAAGGGCTGCCAGAAGGACCACGCAAGGAAACCCGTTTATGAACCAGTTGGGGCTTCCAGGTCCTCTCCAAGGGCAGCCCCATGTACAGCACATTGCGGCATCCAGACGGGAGGGGACCGCAGTGTGGGTGGACTGTGACCAATGCCACTCCTCTCAAAAATGCCTCCCTCTCTACCCTGGCCTTAACCCAAACCAGTCTCCCTCGCCCCAGACCGTTTTACCAGAAGTTCTTCCTGCTCCTCCCGGTTCCCGGCCAGCCCGTAGGTGGGGATCTCCCCGAGTGTGCGGCAGAATTCGGAGGTGGCGTTAAAGACAATGGCCCCCTTCTTCTCGAGCTCAGCGTCGTCCTCCTGGCTCCGGCTGCGCCCCAGGGTCCGCACAATTTCAATCACCTGGAAAGGGCAGGAAAGGGTGAGGGGTTAGCCACAGGGGAAGAGGTGAGGAACAGCCGAGTCGAGCGCCTGACGCGTGGATGCACAGAAGGCAGAGAGGAGAGGAGAGCAACGGAAATCTATGGGCCGGCCCCTTGGGAAGGAAGAGCCACCGCTCTGCTCCCAAAGCCCCACTCTAGCTGTGGGGATAAAAGGCAGGGGTGGAGATCAATAGGTGTGGCAGACAACTATTCCTCCCCCTGCCAGTCCACCACTGATAGCCTGCACTTCCAAATCCTGTCTGGAAATTATCGGGATTCTTCTTGGAATCTGCAGCGCCTTCTGAGCGTCTCTCTCTGGTGCTGGAAGAAAGCGAGCGCAACTTCCAGGACTTCCTTTGCAAATGTGGGAAGAGAGAGAGAGAGAGAGAGAGAGAGAGAAACTCCTTGGGCCAGTTCGGGGAGGAAGGGAGCAAGCGTCCCTTTCCATAGAGACTTCCACTTCCATAGAGACTCGGTTAGCCTGCCGTGAGAGAGCGGCTGCTGGCGCTCCTAATAAAGGGAACTTTTAGTTGGATACACGGCGCTTGTCGTGTTCGGGAGCCGGGTCAGAACACCTTGTTCAACCGGTAAGTCCAGTGAACACTTGGGGCAGGTCGAAACGTTGAGAGAGGGGCCCGGGACCAGCGAGAGGGGAGAGCCACTCTGTCGCGCCCCACTTCGCATGGCAAAGGCACCCCTGACCCACCCCACGTGGGGGGGGTGGGGGAGAGGAAGAGCTCCGGCCTCCTTTGCACGCCCCTCACCTTTTCACCGCTGTCCTTCAACTGCTGGATCTGCCTCAGCTTCCGGCCTTTCTCCAGCTGTTTCTGCAGCTCCATCTCGGCCTCATCTTCCTCCAGGACAGGGGGAGAGTCGGGGTCCTCCATGGCATCCTCTGGCCACACAGGGAAAGACAGTCCGGTCGGAGCTGAACTCTCCCCCTCCTCAGCCCTAAGAGCCGTGAGGGCCAACCTATGGCACGCGTTCCACGGGTGGCACACAGGTGGCCCATTTGTGCCAGCACTTGAGCGGCAGGCAAACTTCCCTCACTGCGCAGGCGTGGCCCTCACAGCTGATTTTCGGCCTCCCAGAGGCTTGTGGAAGGCTTCCGCGGGATTTGCAGGCCAAAAACCAGGGACATTTCGTCGCTTCCTCTTTTTCCGGAAATACCAGAAGTGGCGAAATAGGGCCGCTTTTCAGCCTACAGAAGCCTGCAGAAGCCTCTGGGAGGCCGAAAAAGGCCTCGAACCGGCCGAAAATCAGCTGTGAGGTGCAGGTCATGGGGCGGCGGGGGTAGGGATTGCGCGTGCATGCGTAGGGGGCGTGGGGAGGGGCGCGCATTGCCTTCTGGGTGCTGGGTCCTCATTTTATTGACCTCGGAAGGAGGGAAGGCCGAGTCAACCTTGAACCGGTCAGGATCAAACTGCTGGCAGAGGGCAGAATTAGCCTGCAATCCTGCATTCTAACCACTGCACCACCGTGGCTCTTCCATCAAGATTTAATCCACTCCAGATGTAATCTTGCTTCCCCCGCAAGCATCTTAACGTCAGCCATCCTCACCATCCTCACTGCTGATCTCCATTTTTTCCACACGGATGTCGTCTGACTGGATCAGCTGCTCTCCTGCTCCGTTTCTGCTGGTGGTGACCAGGGATCCCTCCTCCTCTTCCTCCTTCTCCTCTTCTTCCTCTTTCACAGGCACTCGCCGTTTACCCCGGCCCCGGGTCCTAGGGAGGCAGGACAAAGTAGGGTCAGGCCTGACCAGAAGCGGGCTGAAGAGGCTTCCCTCCCGTGATCCAGATGGGGCTGACCTGGCTTAAGGCTAACACCTTAACTGACCCCACCCTGGCACAGGAGTTTGGGTGAGCATGGCTCCTGGGATCAAGCACACACAGACACACACACCCCGTGCGCGCGAGGGAGAGAACGGCACGGAGGCACAACTGTGCCCCAAAGCAAAGCTTTCTGGCCCAAAACAACCCAACAGCAGGCATGGAAGGGCAGCTACACAGTGGCTGGGTTCACACAGGTTTCACTATTTAGGGAAGGTGAGTGTCAACTTTTTTTAAAAAAAGATACTCCTTTGGTCTTTTTAGCTGCTAGTAGAAAGGGAGTGTGGGGAAAAGCAGCGCATTCCTTAAATGCCTCGGATAATCGCCCTGGCAGCCGATGCTGTTGGCGCGCAAGATTATTACTGGAGAGCATGATTGATGACTCTTGGCTATGGAGGTGTCCCGTTGGAGAATATACATCCAGGGAGTGGGGGGGAAGACCAGGGTCAAGGGGGAAATGAAGGGTGTGTCTTCGAGTCGGCTGCACCCAGGTAACGCCGACACGGCCACGCCTAATAAATCTTTTTTTTCTTTTTTCCTTTTTTACGCTGAGAGATGCGGCTGGAGGATTTAAGTGGGGATTGGAACGGGGGTGGATTTGTTGGGAGCCCTGACAGCCAGGAGACCTCGCGGTCCAATTGTGCAAACTCGAACGTGGCGGGGGGGTGGGGGGAATTCCCAAGACAGCGAGTGGCCCTGGGGCCCTCCACCCTCCCTCCAGGGGCCGCCTGCTGCCAGTTCGCCCAGGGCCAATTTTATAGCTTTTAATTACCGATTCGGCAAACGGGTGAATCCCACCCATGGCTGTCACCCCCCCCCGCGCCCCCCCCCCCCCCCCCGTCCCCAAACAGCCCATTTTGGATGCCAGGTAAGGGCAGGAGGCTCAGGGAGGGTGAAAAACGGGCCTCCCGGAGGCTCCAGAAGGCTGGAAACGGGCCAGTTTCCGGCCTCTGGAGCCCAGGGAGGGCAAAAATGCCCCCCCCCGGCCCGTGGTGCAGGAGGCTGCTTAGGCCACACCCACCCAGCAACCGGGCAGAGAACCCATTGCTAAAATTTTTAGAAGCTGCCCCCTGCCTCCCTCCACCCCGTCCCTGCCCCACACATGGCTGACTCCGACCTGGACCCGAAATCCTGCTCGCTGCTCTCGATGCCAAAGGACAGCAGGTCCTCGGCCTTCACGGGCTTTTCCTTCTTACGTATCTTCTTCACCCGTCGCTTCGTCTTCTTGAAAGTGGTCTGCGGGACGGAGGGAAGGAAGAAGGGGGGGGGGGGAGGAGGCAGGCTAAGAGTCTGGCCGGACGGTCCTTTGGGCTCAGCCGCACTACTACCCAAAACGGCCCTCGCTGGCCCCCGCCAGGCAGCCTGGAGAACCCCATCCGGGCCGGGCCCCTTTCCCCGCCACCCCAGACTTTTCCCCTCCGGCTGTCAGACTCCGGGGTCTGCCCCCCTCCCCCCCAGGACTGAGTAGAGGGTGGGGGAGGGGGTTTCACCCACCCTACCATCTCTTCGGGGCTGTAGTACTCCGAGGCCAGGTGGAGGTTGGGCAGGTCCAGCGACTGGGCCCGAATCTGCAGGCTGTCCCGGATGTCCTGGAGCTCCCGTTCCCGGGAGCCGTCCGCCATGCCCACCGCATCCAGCTTGAAGGACTTCTTCCTCTCCCCTTCGATCTCTTCGTCGTACTTGGAGAGGACGCCTTTGTGCTTGAACTGAGGGCGGAAAGCGAGGGTCACACAGGGTTTGCGGGGGGGGTGGGGGGGGTGGAGACACAAACTTAAGGCAACCAGCTGGACTCTGTCGTGGCCCGCCAGCGGCCAGTGGAGCTGGTGGCAGACTCGGACAGTGAGGAAATGGGTCAGTCCTGGAGTCTGGGGAAGGCTCAGACGAGGGCTCTGCGTCGGAGGCAGAGATGGGGCCAGAGCTGTCCGACAGTTATGAGCTGCCTTCGGAGTCGGGAAGAAGAACAGCTGGAGCCTGTTTCCACTACGCATATGCACAGAGCTGCCAGACGAAGGGAATAGCTGAGGAACAAGGGTTGACTTGGGAGTAAAGGCTCAGGTGGACGGTGAATGGCCCCTCCCACAGGGAATAAAAGAGGAGAGAAGGGGGAGGGGGGTTGCAGGAGACAATTAGTTCAGTTCATTAGGGTGAAGATCTGTTCCTGACTCCTTGCCAAGTAATTGCTGCTACAGCGTGGAGTTTGGAAGCCATCGGCCTGGCAACTCTCCAAGTCTGACAAAGGCCTGTAGCTGTGGAATCTCTCGAGAGACCGTTTGCCAGGACTTTGCTGGAGAGGAATTCCCTTTCACCTAAGCAAAAGGGGTTTTATCGGGACGAGGAGTCCTGGCTTCATGATCTTGGGAAGCCTCGGTCAGAACAGACTCTGCCTTTTCACCCAAAACTTGGTAGCAGATCCAGCCAGAAACCACAATTTGCAAACCCAAAGGCTGGATTCACACCCAAATTAAACAAACCATGTTATATGCAACAATGAAAGTTTGCCTGTCCCATTACATCCGGAAGACAGGGCTGGCTGTGGGTTCCCTCTGTGAGGGGTTTATGTTTGAGCCACTTGTGGTTAGAATGCAGGATTGAGGATTAACTCACTGCCCACAGCCAGCAGCTGGATCCTGACTGGCTCAAGGTCGACGCAGCCTTCCCTCCTTCCGAGGTGGGTAAAATGAGAACCCAGGTTGTTGGGGGCAAATAGGCTGACTCTGTAAACTGCCTAGAGAGGGCTGGAAAGCACCATTTGGCAGGATATAAGTCTAAGGGCCACGGCTACGGCTATTTGGCCAACGGCAGGAGGCGTGCATTCTCTCCTGTGGCATCTGCCTTATGGAAGATTCTCTCTCTCTCTCTCCCTCTCTTGCCTGCCTGGGGAATTCTGGGAGTTGAAGTCCACGTCTTAAAATGGTCAAGATGGAGAAACACTGATCTACACCGTTACGTGTGGTGAAGCTGTCAGGGACCCCAAGAGGAAGGACGGATGGAGACTTACGACCACCATGTCGTCCACGCTCTCCTCTTCTTCGTAGGGTTTGTACTCCGGTTTCTTCTTGCGCAGCTCCACGTTCTTCTTGGCCTTCTCCCTGTCCACCATGTTGACGTTCACCAGTACGTCGCCACCTTCCTCCTCCAAGACACCTGAAGGGACACCATGGATTCAGCTGGAGGAGAGCCTTCACGGGAGAACCCTGCCCCTCCCCGGGGACTGGCACCCAATACCAGGGGCCACACCTGTGGGGTCAGCTCTGGAGGGAAGTGGGGGGGGGAAGAAGGGGCTCCGAGGGGAAGGCGCCACCTATTCGGTTCCCACCTTTGTCTTTGAGGGTCAGGACCACCGTCTGTCCTTCCTGGAACGAATCGATGGTGTGCTCCACAGTCAGCCCTTTGAGGTCCTGGGCACTGTAGCCCACCTGTCGGGAGCCAGAGAGCAGAAACAGGCATCAGAAGAGGCAGGGAAGGTGTGGAGGGAAATCCCCAGCTTGGGGGAGGCAAGAAACGGGGGGGGGCAAATCAAGGAGCAACGAAAAGATGCAACGATTCATTTTTTTTTATTTTATCGCTATGAATGGATAGAGTCTTTTGTTGGCCAAGTGCGACTGGACACACATGGAATCGGTCTCTGGCACAGAAGCTCTCAGTGGGCACACAAGCAACAAAGTGACAAATCACAAGATTCCAATAGGAGAAGGGATTAAGGAAAGAGGAGGAGGATAATCGCAATACAGCCCTACTACATGAGTAAACATCCTTAGGCCTAGGACAGCGCTGCGGGAATTAGGTGTATCGGCAGAGTGATGGCACGTGGGAAAAAGTGCCTTTGGGTGTGGTTGTTGTGTGCTGACTCCGGAGCCTTCGGAGTCTGGCAGCAGCGAGGCAGAGGAACAGAGGGAGCCTGTTCCCAGTGCGCGCATGCACAGAGCTGCCAGAAGAGCAGGGGCAACTCGGGAGTAAGGCTGGGACGTGGTTGGCCCCTCCTCCCATAAGACATAAAGGAGGAGCAAAGGGACATGAGCCTTTGCAGGAAGCAACTTTGTTCGTACTGGTCGGTTTGAAACCTGAAGCTCTGTGTTGAATTTGTGCTCCGTTTTGGCCTCGTATAACTAATTGGTTGGCAGCCTTTCAAGGAAGATGAAGGTGCGTGCTGATCAGACTTATCCCCAAGGACTTTGGCAGACTTCTGTGGGACTATTTACAAACTGTGTGAGACTTATTATGGGCTGTGAATGACTATAATTCACAGCCGTTGAAATAAGACAAAAAGATTTGTGCGACTAACGTGTGTTTGTTGATGCCTCAGGAAGCCTTGGTCAGAACACTTGTATCCCACCCTAATTATTTTTACAAATGACTCAAGGTAGCGAATATATCCAACGCTCCTTCCTGTTTGCCCCACAACAACCCTGCAAGGTGGGCTGGGCCGAAAGAGAGGTTCTTCACGCCTGACAGGTGGATTGCAAATGCCATTATGAAGCCTCCTGTTTAAAGCACACCTGGAATGGCTCAAGCTGGCCTTTATTTGTCCCTTTGATCTAGACAGTGGACAGCAAGAATGAAAAAAACCCCGAGTGAATTTTCTTTGCAGGGCGAAGGGCGAGAAGCGCCTCTGCCAACTGGAAAGCCAAGGCCATCATCTCTTCACGCCCAACATTCAGGCTGGGTTTTTGCTTGCAAGTTGCCCTGGTCACTAAGGGGACCACACTTGACCTGACTCGAGATTACAGTGCTCATGTCACCATGGTCCTTAAGCGAATCATGTTGCCATTAAGCAAAAAGATTACAAACTGCAGACCTGAAACCAGCTGTAAACGTGAGACCACTTGCCAGGTACCCAAAATATGATCACACAACCACAAGGGCCATGTGTGTGTAGGGCAGAGGTCTCTAAACTTGGC